CTAAGTGTTGTACTGCCTCAGTGTTGTGCTGCCTAAGTGTTGTACTGCCTCAGTGTTGTGCTGCCTCAGTGTTGTGCTGCCTAAGTGTTGTACTGCCTCAGTGTTGTGCTGCCTCAGTGTTGTACTGCCTAAGTGTTGTACTGCCTCAGTGTTGTGCTGCCTCAGTGTTGTGCTGCCTAAGTGTTGTACTGCCTCAGTGTTGTACTGCCTCAGTGTTGTGCTGCCTAAGTGTTGTACTGCCTCAGTGTTGTACTGCCTCAGTGTTGTACTGCCTCAGTGTTGTGCTGCCTAAGTGTTGTACTGCCTCAGTGTTGTACTGCCTCAGTGTTGTGCTGCCTAAGTGTTGTACTGCCTCAGTGTTTGTACTGCCTCAGTGTTGTACTGCCTCAGTGTTGTGCTGCCTAAGTGTTGTACTGCCTCAGTGTTGTACTGCCTCAGTGTTGTGCTGCCTAAGTGTTGTACTGCCTCAGTGTTGTGCTGCCTCAGTGTTGTGCTGCCTAAGTGTTGTACTGCCTCAGTGTTGTGCTGCCTCAGTGTTGTGCTGCCTAAGTGTTGTACTGCCTCAGTGTTGTACTGCCTCAGTGTTTGTGCTGCCTAAGTGTTGTACTGCCTCAGTGTTGTACTGCCTCAGTGTTGTACTGCCTCAGTGTTGTGCTGCCTAAGTGTTGTACTGCCTCAGTGTTGTACTGCCTCAGTGTTGTGCTGCCTAAGTGTTGTACTGCCTCAGTGTTGTACTGCCTCAGTGTTGTGCTGCCTAAGTGTTGTACTGCCTCAGTGTTGTACTGCCTCAGTGTTGTGGGAACTGTGTTAACTGCAGAGCTGTTTTAACATGAAGAGGACAGAAGAGGACAGAGAAAAGGGAACTGTGTTAACTGCAGAGCTGTTTTAACATGAAGAGGACAGAAGAGGACAGAGAAAAGGGAACTGTGTTAACTGCAGAGCTGTTTTAACATGAAGAGGACAGAAGAGGACAGAGAAAAGGGAACTGTGTTAACTGCAGAGCTGTTTTTAACATGAAGAGGACAGAAGAGGACAGAGAAAAGGGAACTGTGTTAACTGCAGAGCTGTTTTAACATGAAGAGGACAGAAGAGGACAGAGAAAAGGGAACTGTGTTAACTGCAGAGCTGATTTAACATGAAGAGGACAGAAGAGGACAGAGAAAAGGGAACTGTGTTAACTGCAGAGCTGTTTTAACATGAAGAGGACAGAAGAGGACAGAGAAAAGGGAACTGTGTTAACTGCAGAGCTGTTTTAACATGAAGAGGACAGAAGAGGACAGAGAAAAGGGAACTGTGTTAACTGCACATCTGATTGGCTCGAACACATTATGAAGGAAAGAAATTCCACAAAGTAACTTATAAGAAGGCACACCTGTTAATTGAAATGCATTCCAGGTGACTACCTCATGAAGCTGGTTGAGAGAATGCCAAGAGTGTGCAAAGCTGTCATCAAGGCAAAGGGTGGCTATTTGAAGAATCTCAAATATAAAATATATTTTGATTTGTTTAACACTTTTTTGGTTACTACATGATTCCATATGTGTTATTTCATAGTTTTGATGTCTTCACTATTATTCTACAATGTAAAACATTTTAAAAATAAAGAAAAACTGTTGAATGAGTAGGTGTGTCCAAAATGTTGACTGGTAGTGTATTTGAATATGAAAATAATCGGAGTTTACACGTTTTTATATAATTGACGTTAAATGTAAAATAATGTCAAAATGTGTATATACAAAAATATTTTATAGAAATTATAAAATAGTTTGACAACACTGTTTGTAAGCTTTTAAATTATATCAATCCCAAACATTTATATTTTCCAGTGATTAATACATCTCATGGTCTCATGGTATGGTGGGGTATGCAAAATGGGTCAACTTTAAGAACCTTCATCTCTTAAATGTTTTGGCATTCAGGTCCAAAAAGTAACTTGCTAACCATTTCTTCCATGGGCAAACATGTATTGAACGTTTTGTGACCCAGCAGACCTACTGATGTCATTGACTGACCCATCGGGGAGGTAGGCCATCTGGGCTGGCACAGGAGAGGAGAGACCAAGACTGGCACAGGAGAGGAGAGCCCAAGGCTGGCACAGGAGAGGAGAGACCAAGGCTGGCACAGGAGAGAAGAGACCAAGGCTGGCACAGGAGAGGAGAGACCAAGGCTGGCACAGGAGAGGAGAGACCAAGGCTGGCACAGGAGAGAAGAGACCAAGACTGGCACAGGATAGGAGAGACCAAGGCTGGCACAGGAGAGGAGAGACCAAGGCTGGCACAGGAGAGGAGAGACCAAGGCTGGCACAGGAGAGGAGAGACCAAGGCTGGCACAGGAGAGGAGAGACCAAGGCTGGCACAGGAGAGGAGAGACCAAGGCTGGCACAGGAGAGGAGAGACCAAGGCTGGCACAGGAGAGAAGAGACCAAGGCTGGCACAGGAGAGAAGAGACCAAGGCTGGCACAGGAGAGAAGAGACCAAGGCTGGCACAGGAGAGAAGAGACCAAGGCTGGCACAGGAGAGAAGAGACCAAGGCTGGCACAGGAGAGAAGAGACCAAGGCTGGCACAGGAGACAAGAGACCAAGGCTGGCACAGGAGAGAAGAGACCAAGGCTGGCACAGGAGAGAAGAGACCAAGGCTGGCACAGGATAGGAGAGACCAAGGCTGGCACAGGAGAGAGAGACCAAGGCTGGCACAGGAGAGAAGAGACCAAGGCTGGCACAGGAGAGGAGAGACCAAGGCTGGCACAGGAGAGGAGAGACCAAGGCTGGCACAGGAGAGGAGAGACCAAGGCTGGCACAGGAGAGGAGAGACCAAGGCTGGCACAGGAGAGGAGAGACCAAGACTGGCACAGGAGAGGAGAGACCAAGACTGGCACAGGAGAGAAGAGACCAAGGCTGGCACAGGAGAGGAGAGACCAAGGCTGGCACAGGAGAGGAGAGCCCAAGGCTGGCACAGGAGAGAAGAGACCAAGGCTGGCACAGGAGAGAAGAGACCAAGGCTGGCACAGGAGAGGAGAGACCAAGGCTGGCACAGGAGAGAAGGGACCAAGGCTGGCACAGGAGAGGAGAGACCAAGGCTGGCACAGGAGAGGAGAGACCAAGGCTGGCACAGGAGAGGAGAGCCCAAGGCTGGCACAGGAGAGGAGAGCCCAAGGCTGGCACAGGAGAGGAGAGACCAAGGCTGGCACAGAAGAGGAGAGACCAAGGCTGGCACAGGAGAGGAGAGACCAAGGCTGGCACAGGAGAGAAGAGACCAAGGCTGGCACAGGAGAGAAGAGACCAAGGCTGGCACAGGAGAGGAGAGACCAAGGCTGGCACAGAAGAGGAGAGACCAAGACTGGCACAGAAGAGTAGAGACCAAGGCTGGCACAGAAGAAGAAAGACCAGGCTAGCTGTACATGTAAGGCCTACATCTGGGTTGTTGGGTTGGCATGAAGAAGCTTGGCCTGAATCTGGGTTGTTGGGTTGGCATGAAACAACACAGGACTCAATAGACTGGTGTAAAGGAATAAACAGGCAAGCTCTAAATGAGCCATTTGCTTGGCGTAGCTACAAGCACATCGATCACAATCAGAGGAAAAAACAAAACAACTACGGAAGGAAAGAAGGAGAAGAGAGGAAAGGAGAAAGAGAGGAAAGGAGTGAGAGAGGAAAGGAGGAGAAGAGAGGAAAGGAGAAAGAGAGGAAAGGAGGAGAAAGAGAGGAAAGGAGGAGAAGAGAGGAAAGGAGAAAGAGAGGAAAGGAGTGAGAGAGGGAAGGAGAAAGAGAGGAAAGGAGGAGAAACAGGGGAAAGGAGAAAGAGAGAGGAAAGGAGGAGAAGAGAGGAAAGGAGAATGAGAGGAAAGGAGAATGAGAGGCAAGGAGAAAGAGAGGAAATGAGGAGAAGAGAGGAAAGGAGAATGAGAGGAAAGGAGGAGAAGAGAGGAAAGGAGAATGAGAGGAAAGGAGAATGAGAGGCAAGGAGAAAGAGAGGAAATGAGGAGAAGAGAGGAAAGGAGAATGAGAGGAAAGGAAGAGAAGAGAGGAAGCACAAGGTAAGCCTCTAACAGGAGGTGTTCAAACAGGATACGCCTAGTGAGGACACGCACTGTTGACAACAGGTTCTGGTTCCATACAGTAAGAAGGTACAACCTAATCCTTCTTTCTAGTGCTGTTCTGCATCCCGCAGAATGACCAGACCCTTTCTTCTGATAGGATAAGGTTTGACTTCCTCTAAAGAGGGGTGAAGAGGTGGGGGCTGGCAGAGAATGGCTGGTTGGTTTGATGAAGCCAATTGGAAATAGACCAGACCCTTGATAGTGAAAATATATGGGTCTTTGTTTATCTAACTAATTCCTAATATCACTGAACTCCAAAGCAACTATGGTCAAACGTGAGATACCCCATTCATATTGAAACATGGAGACAGAAGAGGTAAGTGAACAATAATCCTAACCTGACCTCTAACCCTAACCCCTGACCCCTAACCCCTGACCCCTAACCTCTAACCCTAACCCCTGACCCCTAACCCCTAACCCCTGACCCCTAACCTCTAACCCTAACCCCTAACCCCTGACCTCTAACCCTAACCCCTGACCCCTAACCCCTGACCCCTAACCTCTAACCCTAACCCCTGACCCCTGACCCCTGACCCCTAACCCTAACCCTAACCCCTGACCCCTAACCCCTGACCCCTAACCCCTGACCCCTAACCCCTGACCCCTAACCACTAACCCCTGACCCCTAACCCCTGACCCCTAACCCCTGACCCCTAACCCCTAACCCCTGACCCCTAACCCCTAACCCCTAACCCCTAACCCCTAACCTCTAACCCCTAACCCCTAACCCCTGACCCCTAACCTCTAACCCCTAACCCCTAACACCTGACCCCTAACCCCTGACCCCTAACCCCTGACCCCTGACCCCTAACCTCTAACCCTAACCCTAACCCCTAACCCTAACCCCTGACCCCTAACCCCTAACCTCTAACCCTAACCCCTGACCCCTAACCCAGATTCTTACCTCTAGTCTCTGCACCATCTCTCGTATATCTTCTTCACATCCGTCCTGAACAGACAACACCACACACTCTCCTCTCTCGTAGAAGATCTTGATGCTAATAATCCCAGACGTCCATCCGATGACATCACGACAGGAACAGTTGAACACCACGTTCTTAGACTGCTCCTCTATTAAAACGATGAACTCGTTGGACACGCCCAAGAGACAGTCCACGTCTGCTGATTGGCCGAAGTCCCGTGCGGTGACGGACCAGGTGATGGCGCCGACGGAGAACAGGTGAGCGTCTTTACGAGGTTTGACCTTCTCTTTCTTCTTGGCTCCCAGTGTGATGAAACTGAACTTCACAGCCGAATCCATGGTTGCCGTGGATACGAAGTTCTCGGCCAGGTCGCGGAGGTACTCCTGGCGCGTTCTGGTCGCCATGGCGCGGAACTTCTCCGATTTGTGGGTGGCGTTCTCCCCATTGATGACCTTGGCCAATAGGAAGTCTCGGAACACGGCGGACTTGGGGAAGGTCACTGCCTTGGGGATCGGAGGGCCGAACAGAGGGACGTCTTTAGAACGAGAGACAGCAACGCTGTAGGGGGAGAGAGAAAGAGAGGATGGAGTTAATACTAATGTAGGGCGACACAGAAGACATGGGGGTAGGTCAGGGTCTTGGGGATGACAGTAGTAGATATATACAGTGAAATGTCTTCCCATGTCTTGGGGATGACAGTAGTAGATATATACAGTGACATGTCTTCCCATGTCTTGGGGATGACAGTAGTAGATATATACAGTGACATGTCTTCCCATGTCTTGGGGATGACAGTAGTAGATATATACAGTGACATGTCTTCCCATGTCTTGGGGATGACAGTAGTAGTTATATACAGTGACATGTCTTCCCATGTCTTGGGGATGACAGCAGTAGTTATATACAGTGACATGTCTTCCCATGTCTTGGGGATGACAGTAGTATATATATACAGTGACATGTCTTCCCATGTCTTGGGGATGACAGTAGTAGATATATACAGTGACATGTCTTCCCATGTCTTGGGGATGACAGTAGTAGATATATACAGTGACATGTCTTCCCATGTCTTGGGGATGACAGTAGTAGATATATACAGTGACATGTCTTCCCATGTCTTGGGGATGACAGCAGTAGATATATACAGTGACATGTCTTCCCATGTCTTGGGGATGACAGTAGTAGATATATACAGTGACATGTCTTCCCATGTCTTGGGGATGACAGTAGTAGTTATATACAGTGACATGTCTTCCCATGTCTTGGGGATGACAGTAGTAGATATATACAGTGACATGTCTTCCCATGTCTTGGGGATGACAGTAGTAGATATATACAGTGACATGTCTTCCCATGTCTTGGGGATGACAGTAGTAGATATATACAGTGACCTATTCTAGTAATTTCCAAACATTACTGTGGAGTCGTGATAGCTCCTATTGTGACATTAACAGTGACCTATCTTAGTGATTTCCAGACATTACTGTGGAGTCATGATGGCTCCTAGTGATTTCCAGACATTACTGTGGAGTCATGATGGCTCCTAGTGATTTCCAGACATTACTGTGGAGTCATGATGGCTCCTAGTGATTTCCAGACATTACTGTGGAGTCATGATGGCTCCTAGTGATTTCCAGACATTACTGTGGAGTCATGATGGCTCCTAGTGATTTCCAGACATTACTGTGGAGTCATGATGGCTCCTAGTGATTTCCAGACATTACTGTGGAGTCATGATGGCTCCTAGTGATTTCCAGACATTACTGTGGAGTCAAGATGGCTCCTAGTGATTTCCAGACATTACTGTGAAGTCATGATGGCTCCTAGTGATTTCCAGACATTACTGTGGAGTCATGACATTAAAAACCTCATATTCTAGTGATATCCAGACATTACTATGGAGTCGTGATAGCTCCTAGTGATTTCCAGACATTACTTTGGAGTCGTCACATTAAAAACCTCCTATATTAGTGATTTCCAGACATTACTCTGGAGTCGTGACAATAAAAACAACTTATTCTAGCGATTCCAGACATTACTGTGGAGTAATGACATTAAAAACCTCCTATCCTAGTGGTTTCCATACATTAGTTGTGATGGGTCCTAGTGATTCCAAACAATACTGTGGAGTCATGATGGCTTCTAGTGATTTCCAGACATCACTGTGGAGTCTTGACAATAAAAACAACCTATCAAGGCGGGGGGAGGGGGGGGGGTACTGTCACGACTTCAGCCGAGGCTGCCTCCCCTCCTTGTTCGGGCAGGCTTCAGCGTTCATCGTCACCGGCTTACTAGCCACTGCCGCTCCATTATTCATCATTCCATTTGTCTTGTCTTGTCAATCACACACACCTGGTTCATATCCCCTCATTAGTCCGTGTATAAGTGTTCCCTCTGCCCCCTTGTCCTTGTGGGTGATTGTTTATTTGTGAGAGTAGAGTAGCTCGGTGGAGCTACTCGTACCATTTTGTTGCCAGGGTAGATATTTCCCCTGTGCCTGTTATTGTTGGAACTACCGTTACCTTGTATTGCCAGGGTAGATTTTTCCCTGTGCCTGTTTCGCTTGTCGCTATCCAGTGCTATTTGTGTACGGCGCAATAAACTCTGCATTCGGTGATTACCTTCCTGTGCCTGACTCCTTCTATCACACTCATCACAGAATCACCCACCCGCTACGGAGTCAGCGGGAGAAGAGCGCATGCCTTGAGTCGTGGCACGGATCCAGGAGCATTCCACGATGCTGGCCATTTTGGGGGAAGCGATGGATCGGGTTTGTCAGGTCGTCCAACGCCTGGAGAGGAGAGGACCCGATCTGTCGAGACCAGCTGGCCAACCGGATCCAGCCACCTACACCCCAGCACCCGGAGGGATCCAGATATCCCGACCACGGGCGTTTGACGGGACGGCGGTACTCTGGCAAGGATTCCTCTACCAACTGGAGCTTTACTCCAGCATCAGGCCGGCGCCATCGGAGCGGGAGAAGGTGTCCGTCCTCGTTTCCTGCCTCTCGGGGAAAGCCCTGGAGTGGGCCAACGCGGTTTGGAATGAAGGAGGAGCTGCGTTGGAGGACTACGGAGAGTTCGCTCGCCTCTTTCGGGCGGTCTTCGATCACCCACCCGAGGGTCGAGAGGCGGGCAAGCGGCTGGTCCACCTAAGGCAGGGGACGAGGACCGCGCAGGACTTCGTGTTGGAGTTTCGACTCTGGCAGCGGGGTCCGGGTGGAATGAGCGGGCCCTGATCGATCATTTACGGTGCCATCTGTGGGAGTACGTCTGACGGGAGCTAGCCTGCTGGGACACCATGTTGTCTTTCACGAAATTGGTGGACATGGCCATCGGTTTGGACAACCTGCTGGCAGCCAGAGGACGTCCTGGTAGCGGTCTGCCCGTTTCCACCCCAGGACGACTTGGATCCCGAGCTGATGGAGCTGGGTGGAGCCGCCGTCCGAGAGAGCGGAGGAGGACAGCGACAGTGCCACTCTGGTGGCACGAAGGGACAGTACACCACACGTCATAGTCAACGCTCTTTTGGGTCTGGAGGCGGTAGGCAGGGCACTCTCGCATCACCCCAGGTATCGAACACCCACACTCGTTCAGAGCTTTCTGCTGCGCACTGTACCCTACCCATCCACTTTCCAGATCACATGGTAGTTCGCCCACGGGGTGGTTGCGAGAGTGTCAGGGTAGGTGTCTAGGTGTTTCCATTGGTGCAACTACAGTGGAAAGTCCAGACGGTACCTCCACTGTGCATATTCCCCCCGAATACCATGATCTGGCGCACGCATTTTCTAAGACACAGGCGACAAAATTACCACCTCATCGGGTGGGAGATTGCGCGATAAACCTGGAGTTGTGATGGCTCGTAGTGATTTCCAGACATTACTGTGGAGTCGTGACGGCTCTTAGTGATTTCCAGACATGACTGTGGAGTCATGCCATTGATGATGCAGATCCTTTGTTCGCTCTCCCCAGAGCAATTGGTCTGATTCCAGAGGCCGACCAAAAACATCGCCGCCAGAGGAGAGGCCATCAAGGTTCGACTTAGGATGTTACATGTGTTACTGAGTTTACTAAGGTAGTTTCTTCTTCCTGATGCTACCTACAGTATGTTAGATGTGCTTCCATCCCTCTGCTCCTCCACCCTGCTCTTCCTCCCTCCCTCCTCCTCCACCTCCCTCTGCTCCTCCACCCTGCTCTTCCTCCCTCCCTTCCTCCCTCCCTCCCTCTGCTCCTCCACCATGCTCTTCCTCCCTCCCTCCTCCTCCACCTCCATCTGCTCCTCCACCCTGCTCTCCCTCCCTCCCTCCCTCCCTCCCCCCTCTGCTCCTCCACCCTGCTCTCCCTCCCTCCCTCCCTCCCTCCCTCCCTCCCTCTGCTCCTCCACCCTGCTCTTCCTCCCTCCCTCCCTCCCTCCCTCCCTCCCTCTGCTCCTCCACCCTGCTCTTCCTTCCTCCCTCCCTCCCTCCCTCCCTCCCTCCCTCCCTCCCTCCCTCCCTCCCTCCCTCCCTCCCTCCCTCCCTCTGCTTCTCCACCCTGCCCTCCCTCCCTCCTCCTCCCTCTGCTTCTCCACCCTGCCCTGCCCTCCCTCCCTCCCTCCCTCCCTCCCTCCCTCCCTCCCCCTCCCCCTCCCTCCCTCCCTCCCTCTATCCCTCCCTCCCTCTGCTCCTCCACCCTGCTCTTCCTCCCTCCCTCCTCCTCCACCTCCCTCTGCTCCTCCAACCTGCTCTTCCTCCCTCCCTCCCTCCCTCCTCAATACAGGGGTTGTGTTTGTACCTGTAGCAGACGTTCTCAGTACAGGGGTTGTGGACCTTGACGATGACGAAGACGTGTTGGAAGTGTGAGCGGATGTTTTTAGGGGTGAAGGGCAGAGTCCCCGGTTCCTGAAACACAATGGTCACAATGTCGTTCCCTATGTGCCTCTTCCTCAGGAGCTGTGGGGAGACAGAGAGACAGAAGGGGGAGATGTTATTCATGAAAACAAAACAATTATTTTGGGTCTTATTTTAAGGTTAAGGTAAAGTTAGGTTTATAATCAGATTTTAATAAGTGAAATGGTGGAAATGGACAGGGTTTATGACTTTGCCGGTTGCCCAGATAGTGACACTTAAAGGAAGGTGAAACAAGACGGAGAAAGGCTCCCAGAATGCAATTTTCTAAATCTCCAGCATCATGGGGATTTATTAATCACACAGGGAACTGGCAGTTAACCTGGTAGAGTGGTTGCCATGGAGAGGGGCTGATAGTTGCCATGGAGAGGTGCTGAGGGGCAACAGACAGGGTAAACAAAAAAGATTAAGAGGTGAATTGGGGAGAGTGGAGGAAAAAGAGACATGAGGAGGGGAAAGAAGAGAGGAGGAGGGAAAGAAGAGAGGAGGAGGAGAAAGAAAGAGAGGAGGGTGATAAACGGAAACGCACAGTCGGCTTTACGTCTCATCGACACTACAAATTTCTGATCGTGATTAGACCACGCTACTTAGTTGCGGTTCCCATCAGTCTGCTTCTCCCCTCCTCTCTTCTTCTCCCTCCCTCGCTTCTTCCTCGCCCCTCTCCTCTCTTCTTTCCCTCCTCTCTTCTTCTTCCCTCTCTTCGCTTCCCTCTCGTTCTCTCCCTCCTCTCTCTTCTTTCCCTCCTCTCTTTCTTCTTTTCTCCTCCTTCTTCTTCGCCCTCTCTTTCTTCCCTCCTCTCTTCTTCTCTCCTCCTCCTTCTTCTTTTCCCCCTCTCTTCTCTTCCCCCTCCTTCTTCTCTTCTTCTTTCCCTCCTCTCTTCTCGTCCCCCCCCTCTCTTCCCCCTCCTCCTTCTTCTTTTCCCTCCTCTCTTCTCTTCCCCCCCGCTTCTCCCCTCCTCTCTTCTTTCCTCCTCTCTCTTCTTCCCCCCCTTCGTCTCTCCCTCCCGCTTCTTCTTCCCTCCTCTCTCTCTTCCCTCCTCTCTTCTTCTTCCCTCCTCTCTCTTCTTTTCCCCTCCTTCTTCTTCTCCCTCCCGTCTTCTTTTCCCTCCTCTCCTTTCCCTCCTCCTCGCTTCTTTCCTCCTCTCTCTCTTCCCTCCCTCTCTCTTTTCCCCCTCTCTCTGCTTCCTCCCCTCTCTTTCCCCCCTCTCTTTCTTCCCTCCTCTTCTCTTCCTCCTGCCTTCTCTTCTCCCCCCCCTTTTCTTCCCTCCTCTCTCTTCTCTCCCTCCTCGCTTCGTTTTCCCTCCCGTCTCTTCCCTCCCTTCTTCCTAGCCCTCCCTCTCTTCTTTTCCCCCCCTTCTCTTCCTTTCTTTCACCCTCTCTTCATCCTTCCCCCCCCTTTCTTTCTCCCTTCTGCTCCCTCCTCCTTTCTTCCCTCCCTCTCTTTTTCCCCCTCCTCTTCTCCCCTCTTCTAGTCTACTCCCGAATATCCCCTTCCCTTCTCTGCCCCTTCTCTGGTCCCTAATACCCTGAGTGGGAAAACCTCAAATAAGCTTATTGACCAATCAGGACCTGAATATAACTGCAAGTCACTTAAAGCTGCAATATGTAACTTTTTAGGCGACCCGTCAAAATGCACATAGAAATGTGAGTTATAGATCTGTCATTCTCATTGAAAGCAAGCCTAAGAAGCGTTAGATCTGTTCTATGTGCACTATTTCTATGCTTCCCGTGTTTAAAATTTGTTTTTGCGTCTTTTACTTTCGGTTTTGTACATCAGCTTGAAATAGCTGAAAATACAATATTTTTGGTTATGGAAAAGATATTTCACCACGGTTTAGATGGTACAATGATTCTCTACACCAGGGTTCTCCAGCCCTGTTCCTGGAGAGCTACACTCCTGTAGGTTTTCGCTCCAAACCCAGTTGTAACTAACCTGATTCATTTTATCGACCAGTTAATTATTAAAATGGGGTGTGCTAGATTAGGGTTGGAATGAAAACCTATAGGATGGTAGTTCTCCAGGAACAGGGTTGGAGAGCCCTGATCTACACTGTACCTCCTTGTTTTGTCACATAAACTGAAATTAGACTAACTATTAGAATTTTAGCAACCAGGAAATGGCGGAGCGATTTCTGCATAGTGCATCTTTAATAATTTAACAGGTACATACATTTTTTCCAAGTGATTACACTATCACTCATAATTCATACGTATGTCACAATGATTTACTGATAACGTATGCTATGATACTGGCAATGTTCTGCCACATGAGCCACACAATTCCCCTTGGACTGCTGGTCAGAAACACATTTTTTATTTACTTTTTTTAGAATCCCCGTTAGCCTGACGCCAATGGCGACAGTTAGACTTACTGGGGTCCAACACATAACAAAAAATACATTACAGACAAAAGACTACAATTCACATACATTTAAAAACATTAACATGTAGTGTGTGTGTGTGCATCTATCAGTTACACATACATGTCAGTACTTACACACAACAAGTAGGTCACATGGGGGAGAGACGTTTTGCCGTGAGGTGTTGCTTTATTTGTTTTTTAAACCAGGTTTGCTGTTCACTTGCGCTATATAATATGGAAGGGAGTTCCATGCACTCATGGCTCTGTATAATACTGTACTGTTTCCTTGAATTTGTTCTGGACCTGGGGACTGTGAAAAGAACCCTGGTGGCATGTCTGGTGGGGTAAGTGTGTGTGTCAGAGCTGTGTATAAGTTGACTATGCAAACAATTTGGAATTTCCAACACATGAATGTTTCTTATAAGAACAAGAAGTGACGCAGTTAGTCTTTCCTCAACTCTTAGCCAAGATAGACTTCCCCAAGCTCTGGGACTTCTTGTCAGAAACACACTTCCCCAAGCTCTGGGACTTCTTGACAGAAACACACTTCCCCAAGCTCTGGGACTTCTGGTCAGAAAAAAATAAATAAACTAGCTAGCTCGCTGATGGATGCAAACAATGTTCTCCCCCCAAAATCTGCAAAAACATAGAAAATTGACATAATCTGTTTCAGTAGGCATCATCAGTCTGTGGTTGATGGTTGGACAGTCCGGTCAAGCCACTAGTAAAGGCTGCGTTTAGTATGTTTTTACGTTCTGGAACATTCAATTGAACGTAAATGGTGCTGTACTGAACGACCAGTTGAAAAACGGGGTGGGGTTGGGTTGTGGGTTCAAATTGCACCGCTGCCCTTTAAATAAGTCACTCATTGATTCAAGCCACACCCAGGCACACCAAGCGAACTGAGCAAACGTATCTCAAAGTCTATTCGAGAACGTACAAGAACGTGTCTTTCAGTACAAACAGTTCCGCAACGTAGAAAACGTTCAAGTAAACTGAACGCACCCCAGAGGATGAAGCTAGCTAGTTGCTATTGGTGCAACAGGTAGCTGGCTAGCTTGTTTAGTTCACTAGCTAGCTAGTTAGCTAGTTATTTTCATGACCTGAAGTTCATGACCTGAAGTATTGAGCAATATTACTGCAGTCTCTGGTTATTGTTTTCAGGATTGTTTCATAGGTAGCCTGGGAAAGTTCCATGGCAGATATCAGCTAAAGAAGGGGTCGGAACCCGGTGTAAATCAGTGACGCCTCGCAACACGTCAAACCAATGAAATGCCTTGCTTGGGCGGAGCTCCAAAGGTGCTCACTAGATCAGTGACGTAGGAGCAACAGTGACGACTAAACATGCCAACAAAACAACCACTGGTGACTAAACATTTTAGAACGTTTGCAGCGCTGGTTTTCACAGCATTTCTCTATTATTTCCAGATGAGCTGAAGCTGCAGCAAGAGGGGAGAAATGATCTACAGTGCTGGACATGTCAATGTGCTTCTGAAGGGATATTTGGCTGTAAAGGCTAGCATGAGGGACAGGAAGTAGCTAGCCACAATGAGGTTCGTTTTGAAAAAAGTCGGCTAAACTTGTAAGCTACCTAGGTAAAACTTCTAGCTAGCTGCTAGCTAGTTAAATTTCTCTCATGAATATAAAGTCAACAGAATTTGTTTTTAAAAAGCATACTGTTAACCTACAAGGTTAGCTGTGTTAGCCCAGTTGCTAGCTTATCCAGGATCAGTGATACATAGAGTAACCATGTACGATCTGTCTATGCCAACAACTGCAATCATTTTGCTAGCAACATTGCTAAAATTAATACAATAAAATAAAATGAACCTCATAAAATATTACCTGTAATGCTCATCTCCTGTAGCCTAACTGTCATCTCCTGTAGCCTAACTGTCATCTCCTGTAGCCTAACTGTCATCTCCTGTAGCCTAACTGTCATCGATCCCTGTAGCCCTAACTGTCATCTCCTGTAGCCTAACTGTCATCTCCTGTAGCCTAACTGTCATCTCCTGTAGCCTAACTGGTCATCTCCCTTTAGCCTAACTTCCATCTCCTGTAGCCTAACTGTCCATCTCCTGTAGCCTAACTGTCATCTCCTGTAGCCTAACTGTCATCTCCTGTAGCCTAACTGTCATCTCCTGTAGCCTAACTGTCATCTCCTGTAGCCTACTGTCATCTCCTGTAGCCTAAACTGTCATCTCCTGTAGGCCTAACTGTCCATCTCCTGTACCTAACTGTCATCTCCTGTAGCCTACGACCTGTCATCATCTCCTGTAGCCTAACTGTCATCTTCCTGTATCGCCTAACTGTCATCTCCTGTAGCCCTAACTGTCCCTCTCCTGTAGCCTAACTGTCATCTCTGTAGCCTACTGTCATCTCCTGTAGCCTAACGTCATCTCTGTAGCCAACTGTCCTCCTGTAGCCTAACTGTCATCTCCTGTAGCCAACTGTCATCTCCTGTAGCCTAACTGTCTTCCTGTAGCCTAACTGTTCTCATCTCCTGTAGCCCTAACTGTCATCCTGCCTCTGTATGGCCTACTGTAACTTGTCCATCTCTCCTGTAGCCTAACTGTCATCTCCTGTAGCCTAACTGTCATCTCCTGTAGCCTAACTGTCATCTCCTGTAGCCTAACTGTCATCTCCTGTAGCCTAACTGTCATCTCCTGTAGCCTAACTGTCATCTCTGCCTGTCCTACTAACTGTCATCTCCTGTAGCCCCAACC